GGACAGAAACATTTCAGGAGTGATTTAATGAAGTCTTAAATTTGCATGTGCTATGAGAAAAAAAGGTTTCCATATTATATAACTCCAGCAGGCATCATTCTCATCCTCTTACCTGAGTGACTATAAGAAGCAGATGACATGTGAAGCCCATAACACCTGAGGGCTTCCAAAAGACTCCATCCATGAAATTGCCTGGCTTTACTGAATGGTACACTTGGGTCAGTGTACCATGTCCTGGTCTCTCACCTTACACTGAGCACAGTGACATACTACAAAACCAACATGGAGAGCAGGACTTAGGTTGCCCTTTCATTAAAAAAGCCTTTCTCTTGCTTTAATCAAGGGTTGTTAGAAGAAACAGTATATGAAGAACATCTCTACATTTTCTGTTGAATTGTCCACTGCATTATATAACATCTGTTTCATAAGCACCCACACAATAATTTAGTGCCATGCAAAAAGTCTCTCCTCTTACAGGCTGGTTTGTTTCCTTTCAACAAACAATGAGAATTATATAACCCTTTGTTTCCCACGTTTTTGTCTTGTCTTCCAGGAAGCACAAAGATAAATTTCATGCTTAATTAAAATAATGTTTGCCAAAGTTTCTGGTATATTTATCTCATCTCCTATTTTAATAGGTTTGTTGAACATGTCTTATAGTAAACTCTTTCAAATTTGTTCTTAAAGTAGGAAAAATATAAATTATGAATAGAATAAAGACATCTCCCTCTAGCCCAGTAAATGGCTAGAAACCAGAGAGTCAACCCAGAGTCCTGTGTTTCCTTTTGTCAATAACCTAGTTCTATCTGTTCAACCACCTTAATGAGTATTTTGTGTACTTTTCCTGTTCCCTACAGCCTTATTACACTGTCTTGGTCTAGCTGGTTTTATCATAAAAGCTTCTCTGTTCATCTCCCTGTCTTCAATCTCAACCCTCTCACAACCTGCCCTCATTCATTCATTTCCTCCATACTATCAGAAGTATTTCTAACACAAAACAGTATGCGTTTCACCTGGCTCAAAATTCCTCAATGACTCCCTATTATCTATAGAATAATACCTGAAGCCATTCATGTAACAGACAGGACTGAGTATGATCTGGTTGGTCACTCCCTATTCAGTTGACATTATCACAATCACTCTCTCAGTGACCCTCCAAAAACAGCTGCTCCTCCCTCAGGGTTGCCCACCTCAGTAAATGGCACCACCATTTAACCAGCTGTTCATACCCAAAACCTTGGAGTTATTCATGACTCTTCTTTCTGTCACATCCCACGTCCAAACCATGAGCAAATCATATCAGCTCCACTTTCACAATATACCCAAATGCAACCACCTTTCACCACCTCAAATGCCAGCACCTAGCATAAGTCACCATCGTCTGTCACCTGGACCACTGCAACAGCCTCCTAATTAGTTCTCTGATTCTGCCTTCACACCCCCTAAACTCTATTCTCTATACAGGAGCCACCAGTTATCCTTTTAAAATACAAATGAGATCATATCACTGCCAGACACAAAACCTTCCACTAGCCCCCCATAACACTTAGAATAGAGTCCACAGTTCCTGTCATTGCCTAGAAGGTCGCTCTTCTCCTTGCTAGGAATGCCCTCCCGCAAGTATTCACAGAGCTCAGGCCCTCATTTCATTACAGTCTCTGATCCAATATTCCTTCCTTAGAAGGTCCTCCTAAACCCCTATCACAGTAGTTCTCAACTGGGGGCATTCTGACCTGCTCAAGGGACATTCAACGATGTCTGCAGATATTTTTGGTTGTCACATGGGGGAACAGGGTATCTGCTGGCATCTAGTAGGTAGCAGCTAGGGATGCTGATAAACACTCTACAATGTACAGGACACACAACAAAGCCCCCACAACCAAGAATTATCCAGCCCAAGATGTCAATAGTGTCAAAGTTGAAAAGCTCTGTCCTCTCAAAAACAGCACCTCCATTGGTCTCCTAACTCTTACCCTGCTGTATTTTTTTCTTCGTAACTATCACTTTATTTTTTTCTTCATGATAACTATCACTATCACCTTCCCTCACTAGAACGCAAGCTCCATGAGGGCAGACTTTTGACTGATTTGTCCACGGCTATATACCTATAGCCTAGAAGAATGCCTGGTATATCACCAGTACTCAGTAATTATTTATTAAAAGTATAAATGGATAAATGATACTTCAACAAGCTGAACTATTTGCAGCCCTCGAAACACCCCAGATTCTCAAAGTCTTCTGTGCCACCAGCTATACAGATTTGTGAAACATCATGAAGTCTGAAGTTACTGTGCTTTGTTTGCTATAGAGTGCTGGTGCATACTAATGTTTATTCACACTTCCTACTTGGTAGAAAGTAGGCTAACATGCTCCTTGAAAGCAGACTCCATGCCTCACACTTCTCTGTGTATCTCACATCTCATTGGCAGATCACTACTCTGACCAGTCAAAGAGCCCTATGTTTCAGATTTAGGACTTGAGCCAAGAGAAGCTAATCCAGGCCTGTAATGTCTTAAGCATCCATAATCGGAGAGCTATATATCTTTACTCAAAATAAAACCATAATGTGTCATCATATCCAAAGCAATAAAACTGGTATAATAGCCTTCAAAATCAATATCCACCTACCTGCTTGCTTGGCTTCAATACAGGCAATATTTATTTCTTCTTTCAAATCCCAGTTTTCATTGGCTATAGCTTCCCCTACTTTAACAAATCTTCCAACTGCCAAGTTGACAGCTTGTCCTACACGCTGAATTGCTTGCAGAGTTTTATCAGACTTTTTGGTATTATCTTTATGATTAATAAGTGTGGTGATCTAAAAATAAAAGATAAAAGTAATTTACTTAAATTTTACTTCAATGCCTTTTTATTTTAAGCTGTATCACAAAAAAACAAGAAAATTAAGCCCAGCATACAGGACTAGCCCAATAGACTAAATCAATAGCTTCAGATGTTTCAACACAGAGACAACCAGTAAAGTATCCTGTATCATTCCTCATGACAATGTTTCCATTAATTACAACTCCAAGTTCACCTGAGGGCAGTTATCTGGGGCATACAGTTCCAGAGGCCCTCCAGATCTTTCGATAAATCTGAAAGACAGGAGAAAAGTAGGAAAGGATAGATCATTACATCTACAAAACCCACAGAAAACCAAAGTACTTCAGGGCCAGCTTCCTCTACTATGACTTGAGCTGCTGTGAGAGTAGAGACAGCATCTTCTACCCCTTGCATTCCACTCCATGGCCTACCATCGTGCATGGGTTGTACAAAATAGTACTTGTGCCATGCATGTTTACTGCATTAACTAGATACTTTAGAACAATCATCGTGATCTATGTTTTATACTTTGCTAAATTTTGTTGTACCAGACTCAAAGTAAACGAAATTTCAAAAGTTTTAACACTTGGTTCCAGGCCCTGAAATAAAATACAAAAGGCAACAAGTTCAGCTTGTTGAAACAAACACAAATCTTCAAGATATCTTAGAAAACTAGTACATAAACTATGCTGACATATAAAAATATTCATTAAAGAACGTGGCCTAAAAGACATAGATCCCAATCAGTACATGTATGCTGAGTATAACTTTGAAATAATGTATACAGTATATTTATAAAGACCACACACAGTAGGGAATTTAACAGAAGAGGAAGAGAATCACTTTCACTCTTCATGCAACTACTGTGTGCCAAGCACTTTATATGTTTAGGCATTAATAGTTTAGAATTAATAAAAAGGCCTAGGTTTGAGTCTTGACTTGGCCATTACTAGCTAAATGGTCTAAGAAAATTTATTTAATCTCTCTAAACTTACTCATCTACAATATTTTTTTCATCACATTTTGAATATCTATTAGATGCCAGGTCCTGAAGATGCATCAGTGAGCAAGACTAACACTATCCTGCCCCCATTAAGTTTACAGTATGGTAAAAAAGCAATAATTCAATCACATAAAATATATTTGTTGTATACTATCATATGCCAAATAAAATCCTAGGCAAGAACAAGAAAGAAAAAGCCATGTTCTCATGAAGCTAACACTCTAGTGAAGGAGGGGGTAAAACACACAATAATCACATAAATAGGTAAATAAAACAAAATCTTTAATGTGAATGCTATGCAAAATGTTAAAATAGGATAATGTGATATAAAGTATCTGTAGCTACCTGAAATTGAATGGTCTTCCACCTATGAACAAGTGATATTTACGCTGAGATCTAAATGATAGCAAGTAGCCAGGATGGCAAACATCAGGGGATAGAGAGCATTCTAGAGAGAAGAAACAGTTGGTTAAAAAAAAAATACAATAACAGAAAGCTCTTAGGAATAAGCCTGTCCTATTCAAGGAATGAGATAAGGCCAGAAGTGGTTAAAGCATAGTGGGCAAGATGGCAAGTGTCAAACCAACATCCAAGAGATGGGATAGGCAGGGGCCAGCCAAGGCTGTGCATTGGAGTAAGAACTTTATTCTATGTATTACAGAAAGCCACTGAAGCGTTTTTAAGTAGGAAAGTGGTACAATCTCTGTAGTGGTTTTCAAATGTGTCCACAAATTGTTTTATACTTCTCCCTTCAAGTGGGGGAAACTCATTTCTCTGCCCCTGAGAGTGAGTTGGACTTCATGACTCACTTCTAATGAAGAGAAAAATAGTAGAAGTAATGGAGTGCTTTTGAGGATAGACCATAGAACACATTGTGACTTCCATCTCGCTCATTCTCCCTCTCTCTGGGATCAATCGCAGTGGGAGAAAGCCAGATCTCATTTCATGGAGGGCACTCAAGCAACCTTATGGAAAACCCCACGATGTAAGAAACCAAGGCCTCCTGCCAACAGCCAGGAGAGTGAACCTGGGAGTGGATTCTCCAGCCCCAGTCAAGCCTTTGGATTACTGCAGGCCCAGACAAAAATCTTTCTTACAATTTCAAGAGAGACCTCACTCCAGAATCACGAGGTAAGTCACTCCAGAATTCATGACCCATAGAAACCATAAGATAAATGTTTGTTGTTTTAAGGCACTCAATTTGGGGTAATTTGCTCTGCATAAACTATAGTTAACTAATACAGATTTTGGTAGCTGGATCTGGGGTGATGCTGTACAAAACCTAAAATGTGAGAGTAGTTTTGAAATCCGGCAGTGGAAGGTGAATGAACTTTGAGGAGTGAGTAAAAGCTAGAAGTAGCAAAGAAACTTTGTAGAAGCATCATGACCTTTGAGGAAGTAGTCTTAGTCGGTTTGGGCTGCTATAACAAAATACCTTAGACTGGGTAATATATATACAACATAACTTTATTGCTTAAAGATTTGGATGCTGGAAGTCTAAGACCAAGGCACTATTTAGATTTGGTATCTGCTAAGGGCCCATTTCTCATGAATGACCTTCTATGTGCTCACATGACTCCCACAGCCCCTTTTATAAGGGCACTGATCCCATTCATGAGGGCTCCCTCATGACCTAATCACCTGCCAAAGGCCTCACCTCTTATTACCATCACTGTGGGGGTTAAGTTCCAACATACGGATTTTGGGGAGACAAGAACATTCAGGCCACAGTGGAAGCTATGGATGAAAGCTTAAAGCAAAGCAAGAAATATCTCATCGGAAACTGGAGAAAAGGGGATCCTTGTTATGTAGTGACAGTTAGTCACCCTCATTAATATGGAAAGGAGAAAATATACCTAAGGAACTGGGTGATCTAACTAAGGAGATTTCAAGGCAGATTTGGGGGTTCTACCTGGTTTCTTCTTGCTACGTACAACAAAATGTAAGAGAAGAGAGAGAAGTTAAAGGTGACGCTGTTAAACAAAAATAAGCCAGAACTTGATTGTTTTGAAAATTTCTTCTCCAGATAGCACACCATGCTAAAATCAAGATTAGCTTCCAGGCAAAAATAAAATCCAGGGCACTGTCAAAAGGTACAGTCTAAAGATGAAGCTAAGGGTATAACCTTAAAATCTTATTATACGATCTCTGAAAGATGCAAGGTGGTGCTTCAGTCAACCATACAGTTTAACAACAGACCTCCTAAGAAGTTTAAAGGGGTTGTCTCCCAGCAGGCCCAGCAGAAGCCCAAGTTAGAAGAAAGCATATCTCAAAGAAACTTGTGGGTATGTTTTTTGTCTAATGGAGTGAGTCCAATATAACTCACAGGAAACCAATAAAATTTTTAAGATAATCATGTTAACAGAAACACCACTAGCTTGGACTAAAACAGACAGATCAACACAAAATGAATGGAAACGTTTGTATCCCCAAACTCCCATAGGCAGAGAGCAAGCTGAGAAATCTATCCTGCTGTAAACATGAGCTACCTTTCCTGAAAAAGGATAACTCAGAGGGCAGTGTCAAGAGCCATGAAGAATTATTCCCAGGCCTTAATCAAGGAACTGTCAAACTGCCCAGGAGGACTTCAGAATGCTATAAACCAGTGGCTCCTACTTTTCCATTTTTGAAAAGAAGTATGTAGCAGTTATTCCACACTTCCTATTTTCCTATTTTTTGAACAGAAGGATCTATAGTGGTTATCCTACAGCTGAAAGGAGCTACACTTAAAGAACTACCACATACAAGAAGCCTCATTTCAACCAGATTTAGATTCCAGCGGATTTTGTGACTTTTGGGAAGGCTGAGGTGGAAAGAGGTTGTCTGAAGGTGGAAAGAAGGTAAACAATTAGTGGCCAGAGGTTGGAGTATGGTAGTTTTAAAATATGTCCACAAATTCTTTGCTATTCCTGCCTTTAAGAGGTGGAGTCTCATTCCCCTCTCCTTGAGTGCAAGCTGAATTTAGTCACTTACTTCTAACTAATAGAATAAAGCAGAAGTGACAGTATGCTACTTTTGAGGGCAAGTCATAAAGTCACCATAGTTTCTACCTTTCTTTCTAAGATTATTCACTCTAGGGGAAGCCAGTTCCCATGTCATGAAGACATCTGACCAGCCCAGTGGAAAGGCCCACATGATAAAAAACTGAAGCTTAACAGATCCAGAAGACCAAAGTAAGCTACTCCCAAATTCCTAACTCATAGAAACTGAGATAAATGTTTGTTTACATTATGTTTTGGAGTGATTTGTTATGTAGCAGTAAATAACAAACACAATCTCAAATGCATGTTTTTTAAAAGAACCTTCTAGCTATTAGGGAGAAGAGTAGATTCCTAGAGTGATAAAAGCAGAAACAGGGAGACCAGTTAGGAAGCTGCTGTAATAGTCCAGGCAGAAGATGATGCTGGCTTGAAATAAGGTGGCAATAGTAAATATGGGGAAAAAATGGACAAATTGAGGAATGTCTTGAATATGACTTGCTTGATGGATTAGATTGGTGGTGTCAAAAATGCCCCCTAAATTTGTGGTATGAGAAAGAGTGGACAGGCACGACACTAACATCTCTATGTGGCAGGAATATAAAAGTGTTTTACGTAAATGATCTAATTTAATCCTCACAATAATGTTAGGACATAGGTACTACTTAATCCCCTTTTTGCAGATAAGGAAATTGATATTAAAAGATGCTTATTTAAGGTCACACAGCTAATAAGTGGTGTGGTCAGGATTCAGATTCAGACAGTTTGACTCCAGAGACCATACTCTTAAACACTACCCTATAATGTCTCACAACAACCCAATGAAATAGGTACTATTGTCATCCCCATTTTACAAATGAGGAAATTGGACATCGAAAAGAATGGGAGAGTTAGGATTTACATCAGGATATTCTGACTGCAGAGCCTAGCCTCTTAACCACTTAGCCAGACAGCCTTCTCTGCCTTATGATGTTAATAAGAAGATTTAACGAAATGATGAAAGTATTGTGTTTA